TTGTCTAATCGGTTGGGAATTGCCAGTATTTATTTTATGGGTGACTATGCTTGTCTTGCCCTTGTCCTGGTCGTCTACCGCGAACACATCTCGGAATTCCACAAGCATATTTTTCACCTTCTGTCGTTGTCTATTGTCCAAATCTGGAGTGTTTTTAATGACCATATCTATCAGCTCTCTTGGATACTTTCCTTTAGATAGATTTTCCGATTTCACAGAGCGAATAGCCGAGATGGGCACACACTGTCCAACTGCAGTTCGTTTGCTTAGCTTAACAGGACTATCTTTCAAATTCATAATTCGAATCGGAACGTCATTTTGAACTTTTACCAGAGCCCTAGCCACTAGAAATTCCTTTTGGTTTAGTGCTTCGACTATCCGTAGGCTTCCCTGGCGACAGTATCCATCTAAAGTGGTCATTATAATTTTTTCACTAAGTCCGGGTATAATGACGTCATGAGTGGTTAACAGGCGGATGACATCTTCTTTGTCTTCATGGAAAGGGAGTTCTTCATCGCCGACCTTTAACACGCCCTTCTTCACGTCTAACACAGCTCCGAATTTCTTAAGAAGATCCATCCCCAAGATGAATTGATCAGAAATATCAGCAATTAGCACCTGGTGATTGATGGTGGTCTTTCCGATGGTGACAGACATTTGTATTTCTCCGTGCGTTTTTATTCTTTCACCAGTTGCTGTTTTTAACTGCACGGTCGAAGATGAGATCCGAGCATGATTCTTCAATAACTCTGGTCTTGCAATAGTTCTTGTTGCACCTGTGTCTACCAGCAAGGATCTGTCTTCTCCATTAACTCGGCCGTCGATGTACAGACTCAGAACTTTTCCAGACGACGTTTACAGTGAAGATCGGGGGCTTTGTTTCTGCAGGTCGACGATAGCCCCTTCCTGTCGACCTTTCTTAGTTTTCCGACTGCTGTATTGGTTTTTGGCAGTTGCGGCGAACGTGTCCAATCTCGCCGCAATTCCAACATCGTGGTTCACGTTTCTTTGACAGTGACTGTATTGCTTTATTGACCTTTTCTTCCATTACTTTACTGACCTTTTCTTCCACTACTTTACTGACCTTTTCTTCCACTACTTTACTGACCTTTTCTTCAAAACTTTCAGAGCCACCTTCCTCTTCGATGGTTCTTACCCGGCTGTCACTGCGAGGTTCCACCATACGTACTCGCGCACTTCCATGACTAGCTTTCTTGGCGGCTTCGAATTCTAACGCATGGGCCAAAGCTTTTTCAATTTTGTCGTGCCTAGCCAGTCTCAAAGCCTGCTGGGCATCTCCCTCACGAACGGCATCGATAAATGTTTGTACAGCCAGTTGATCAAGAAAGCTCTCCGGTGCCGTAGGGTATGCCAATCGAATCAGTCTAGCGATGTCCGCTTCAAGTTCCTGCAAACTTTCTCCAGGTTTCTGTATTCGGTTCTTGACTTGGGCATAGTAAACTTGCTGAAGGTGTTTATCGCCATATCGCATTTCGAGTCGCGCTACTATTTGTTGGAAGTTCTGTTCATCCTCGGGGATAGTCCGCAACACATCCAGAGCATCTCCTCTCAGAGCAAGAATCAGGGCTGTAGTTTTGTCTTGAAGAGTCCATTTATTTGCCGCAGCCGCTGCTTCAAACTGTCGAACGTACGTGGTCCAAGGAATCTTACCATCAAAAGTAGGTGGCTTTATTCGGGCTTGCTGAACGTCGCCTTCTACTCTCGTATTTGTTTCTGGGTCGACCTTCTTGTAATGAGTAGACTGTGGCACCTCAAGGAGACGGTCCATCAGTAATTCATCTGGGGCACTACTAGTACGCTCTTCCGTAGTCAGTCGCAAGAATTGCTCGCGCAGCTCTTCATACTTGTGCTCAATCTCAACGAATGTTGCTTTAAATGTTTTGGAAACTTCCGTAATTCTATCTTCAACTTTTTCTTCAACTTCTTCGATAATCTTTCTAGAATTTTCCTCCATCTTCTCGAATTTCTCTTGAATATTTCTAGAATTTTCTTCCATTTTCTCGAACTTCTCTTCAAAATGTCTAGAATTTTCTTCGAACTTTTCTTGAATATTTCTATAATTTTCTTCATTAATCTTTCTAGAATTTTCTTCGAACTTCTCAAACTTCTCTTGAATATTTCTAGAATTTTCTTCATTAATCTTTCTAGAATTTTCCTCCATCTTCTCGAACTTCTCTTGAATATTTCTAGAATTTTCTTCCATTTTCTCGAATTTCTCTTCAAAATTTCTAGAATTTTCTTCCAACTTCTCTTGAATATTTCTAGAATTTTCTTCATTAATCTTTCTAGAATTTACTTCCATTTTCTCGAACTTCTCTTGAATATTTCTAGAATTTTCTTCAAAATTTCTAGAATTTTCTTCCAACTTCTCTTGGTTGCTTTTCATTTCTTGTTGCAACACCTGTTGGCCATTTTGGATTTGCTGGGTCAAATTGAGCATCGTTTCTTCCATTTTAGCGGCAGCAGATCTTGTTACAGGCATACACAAGCACAAGCACTTAATTTAATCTTACTTTTAATTAATTTAATTAATCCCACTTCTGACACCAATGTAACGTGATTTATAAATTCGGGTTCGATTTATATCAATATTTATTAAACAAAACTAAAACACTATAAAAACCGTACAATTTATATCGATTATTATATCACACACACTTCGCAATTTATATTTCCGTGCTCGATCTCGTTCGATAGTAGACTGCCGCGATGTTCGGCCGCAACCATTTATACACGCAAGCAATGTAAGTCCCGAATATTCTAGAATACGCGTAGAAAATTCCAGAGCGCTAAAGGCGACGTCACGTCTGGAGCATTTCCGTTACAATATATTGCACTTTTTAAAGACGTAAGGTGACCCAAGAGGTCTTCCCCGAAGTCGACCAGTTTTCGGTCTTGACACAATACTCTGCACAAAAGTTGGTAGATATTCAGGTGTCGAATAGATCCTTCATCGATGATTTCAGTAACAGTGTCTCCTTGTGTTTCTACATCCCGATTCACGCGCATATTATTGACATAAAGACTTTAATGCTATCGAATCTGGTTTATCAGTTCCAAAAATATAGGTTCATGTCCAAAAATGTATCTTAGTACGACCCCCCTTCACCCAACAATGCATATTATTTTATTATTAAATCTTAAGAGTTGATTCAGCCCAGCAGCACACGGCCGCCCTCGTGGATCTGGTTTGCGTTCTGCCATTAAGTTTTATTTCTCGAAACCATGTTATTAATATGTTCTCCAAGAAAGGGGAGATGCATGAGATAGCATCCACAGTTCTTCGGCCATGCTTAAAAAGGAAAAAAAAGCAATAACCAATGCTCATAATAATTTGCCTTCATAAGAGTCGGAAATAGGTATGTGCGGAGCAGTTGAAATAGGAAAATGTTTACAACTCTCTTTCCGTGGCCTTAAATGCGAAACCTTTGTAAAAATGGTAGATATGGCTAAAAAGTTGTAGCTGAGCACATTGGTTCTATTTTGCTTTACTGCTTGATGAAACCAATGGTGGCAACTGTAAATTGGGCGCTACTCTTCTTATTGAAGATTACTTGTCGTGATGGCTGTATACAATAAAGTTGAAAAACTTATTAACGTCTTCATACGGATCGCAAAAACGACATTCATTTGCCAGACCTTAAACTAGTGGCAAAATTACATAGTAACGGCTGTCTTTTAAATGGCAAAGCTCTTACCTGTAGCATATCCACAAATAACAGTTACCTTACTTTGTAAAATGAGCAATGTCATTTTAGTTATTTGGTTTCGCGAAATAGTCTTGTTGAATATTATTCGGCACCAATTATTGTTGGCTAAATGTTCTTCTGGTTTAGTTCAAATTTAACGCTTTCTGACAACTTCACTCATGGCAATCATTTAACAAATGTCATTTGCCAAAGTTGCCAAGCAACACACTTATATGTCAGTTTTAACTTCAAAATTTTCTCTGTTGTAATTTAACATTCGACAAAACATTTTCCGAATTACATATCTGTAATTCCAAAAGAGAAATAAAAAGTGTAAGAACTATGAGCGTTTCAGCAACAGAAAATGGCCGTACCTTGCTTGAAAAGCTATGAACTGCGAACACCAATTTGGACGTGATATTTCACTTTTCGAATTTTTGTACATTTCTCTGAAAGATCGACGTGATGAATGTCAGTATTTCGCCGACCATTTTACGTCTCCTTGGAAAATAAAGTGGTAACCATAGACAAACTTTGTTAGTTGCATAGGAAATTTGTGAAACTACGTAGTCGTCTGGGCGTTACTAACGTATCAAACAAGATTGTTTTGTTAACTTCAAAATTTTAGTTTGACCTTTCAGAGAATTTTATTCCGAAATTATGGCATGTAGAAGACGTAGACGTAGAGAGAAGGGCACAAACGTAATCTGCAAAAGACGAAAAAACTCCCGCTTTTCGAAAAATCCCTTTTTAAATTTCTTACAAGAGCTGCGTAAGAAATACCCCACGTGGCTTTCATGCAAGCTGACGCTCGAAGGAGCTCGCCGGTGGTGCAACATGAGTGAATTTCGCAGAAGAAAGTACCAGTGCAGAGCAGCACAGGCCGGAAGGGCTGCTAAGCCCTTTCGAACTAAGTGTAAACCTGGGCGAAGGAAGCTCAGATGTAAGTTACAGAAGAGACGACGCAAATGCAAACGGAAAATAAAGAGGCGTACTTGCAAACGAAGAAAAAGAAGGATGCGCAGACGAAGTTGTTCAAGGAAGAGGAAGCGGGTGTGCTGAAGGAAAAGAACTGCTTTTCCTTCTGCACACCCGCTTCCTCTTCCTTGAACAACTTCGTCTGCGCATCCTTCCTTTTCTTCGCCCTAATCAGTCTCAGACATCGGTCGTATCGCAAGAAGCTTCTGAAGCTAATAGAGAGTCTGTAACAATGCTGGAATGACGTCACACTCTCAAAATTTTACATGTGATTATACTTTTATAGATTTTTATATTATACAAAACCTTTTTTATCTATGCTGTTTGATTCAAAAAGAAACTGTTGGGAATGTAATTTAGTGGCACAGATACATACATTTCTCTGAAAGCATAAAAGCAAATGCCCAAATACCTTTTTGAACTAAAATACAGAACGATAGTAGAAACATCCGGCAACGCACGAGGTTCTTAGATTTCAACAAACAGTATTCCACAGTGAAGGTCAAGTGAAGCATCAATTCCTGTTTGTGTGTCCTTCCCGTTATTTTCATCGCTTCTCCAGAACACTCTAATACGTAAGCCCCGTTTTTGGGTGTCATTTTGTAACGGATGTTACAAATACCTCTTCTACTCCATCCTACCTCTGGCTAATCTTCGCATACCTTAATTAAATTACGGGTGGTTCTTGTTATGGAATTATGTATAATGTGCGCCCGATAGCTATCAGTTAGTAATTCTCTCCTGGCCTCTTAAGGAAAAAGGTAAAGGGATAAATAATAAGTCAATAATCTTTATTAAATTATGAAACGGTTCTTATTTTCTTTAAGGTATGTTCTTGCTGCAATAGAATAACATAATTAGTAAATGGGGTTTGAAGCGTAACAATCCTGTACAGCAAATAGTTAAGAAACATTGATTCGCAAAACATACTTCGCATCGATTGTTCCTAAATACCTTTATCGTTTGTGCACCACCAGTTCTAGACGAGTTCGGGTCACGGCTTTCACTCACAAGGAGAGTTATCTTGCATCCAGCTGTACTATGCACGGACCGACTATAGACTTCCCGCCGTTGTTAGGAACGCCAGGGAAGGACCCCACTACCAGCAAACGCCCCATTCGCCGCAACGCCGGACGCCTCGACGAATTGTTAATAAGCACCACCAAGGGCCAGCAAAAACCACTTGTGCCTGGGCAAGCCTACCTTCCCTACATAAGCAACTGAGGCTGGTCGCTTTGGCTCAAGACGTCGCCACCGCATGTCATCACGTCCCGGCTCTGACCTAACTCCGTTCGTCAGGATCGGCGCTATCCGCACCTACCTACGCCGCTTCTGGCATCCTGGTACGCCGTGGATATGTTCAAGCTTCTTGTTTTCTTTCTTCGAAATGCTGCGAAAACCTTCGTCCGCAGCATGACGGTGGCTCGATCGATATGATTTTCGCTATTGGATTAATTTCAGTCTTCGGGATCCATTCAGAGGACTGATTGACTTAAAATTGCACCTCGCGCTTTGCGACAACGCGGCGCAGGTTCGCCCCATGTAACGCCGCTTAAAGCCTCCTGTCTCATTATTTGTCATTTAACTTTGGGTTGCGATAGACGTATTTAACTCGGATCTCTTTGTTCTTACCTTATTACAATGATCTGATTCATTTATCTCACCCTAAATATGCACACATAGTGCAGTATTTATTTATTTACTCTATTTGCATCTGAAATAGAATTGTATTTCTAAACCGCGATTTTTACTTTATATTTCCAGTTACCTTTTAGCTTCCTTAGAGCTCTTTTACACGGTGGTACTGTATGCGAAATACTGTATCTTTGTCATCAGAATTCCAGCCTTACGCAGTGAGGTACTTCGATTTTCAGTGCAGTGGCGGGCGGGTTTCTGTAAAGTCACACCACACCTGATAAAATTGACGTTGCAGAAGCCATTTTACTATACAATACATCAAAGGTGCGCTCCATTTTATGACTATTTTGTTTCTTCGGGCGGAGGTGACGAACAGCACTGACCGGTTGCTAATGAAAAGGTATCCTCCTGTAAAGAGTTCCATATGAACCAATAGCCCATCAGTTCCCTAAAGTCGTAAAATCTCCGGGCGACTGGACCTAGCGGGAAACCGAAATTTAGTCGCCGGTACTGTATGCGAGAAGTATGCGTGTGTGAACGGCTCCATAAGACGCAATGTTACAGATGTATCCGAGATACCAGTCTGCGGGTGACTGTATCAACGTGTCTTACGGTTAAATAAAAAACCGGGTTATACATAAATGAAATAATTGATTTCCTTACAATGCATAAACAAAAATTCACACACACAAGATTATAATTCCGTATCTATATAATTTAGATTGTGCATTTTTTCTACCCTATAAAATTCTCTGTACGTACGGAGGCTCGTTAGAGCTTTATTGGTGAGCCTGCGTAAATCTGGGTGGGATTTGGAGGAATGCGACAGATAAGGAGTCCAACGACGAACAAATCTACCCACGTTTCATTTTGTTTTCTCCAAACAACAGTTCACGTTATAAGGCAAATAGTAACAACAAATTTATGCAGTAGGAGGGAACCCTTTGAACGAATATACGGTTTTTTCAGATACCAAAAGTTGTTGTTGGGACATTACCACAACGCATATACGTAAATGCTACGCTGAAAAAATCGGTATGTATTTCCAAAAGGAGTTGAGTATCTAGTGATGAAGGATTATACTATGGTAACGTCTACGAACGCTAAAATAAAAATATGAACAAAGTTGCTTTTATATAAGGATACACTCCTCTATCTTCCCAATGGAAATAAAGGATCACAATCTTCATAGTCCATTTCAAAATAATGGATGAAACTAGCCTCCCATTCCTTAGCTTTACTATGTAAATGGTTATGCATTTCGACTAAAAGCACTTCAGACACACCACAATTCTGTTGAAAGCGACTACCGATAATGAATAACGAAAGGTGAGAACTGCCAACAAAAAATTCGAACGTCAATGTCAAATATTAAACAAAAACCTTTGGCATCGTTGATCGCAGCATATCCAGTTCTACAAAAGTTTACCTACCACAAGTCCATAGATCAACTTGTTCTGGGCACAAGTCTCTAATATTTTTCTCATTAAATATACCAAAAATTGGTGTTCTATTCTGTCAGTGACGTGCAAAGGCCCACCCTCGGCTCATTCTTATTCGAAGGGATTGAAAAGGTTTTGGACTAATTCTTCAAAAGCGCGCGCTTTTTTTTATAAGCCAAGAGTTGTGAGAGAGACAGGAGTCTGACCAAGTGTCACTTTCGAATGTTTTTATAATTAACTGCACTGCTGATCACCATCAAACCTATAGCAATTAACAAGATATCGTCTGAAATGAACAATTAGAAGTCGGCACTGGAAAAATTTTTTATTATGGCAATTGATTTTATTTGACCCACGGCTAGCCCAGTAATAAAAATGTTTTTAAATCCCACACCTTACGGAGGTTTGGTCTCTTATCTCGTCTTACAATCTGAAATCCAATTTAATTTGATTGAACTCTAATAAATACACATGTGATCGATCAAGTTCAATTTTTCTGGCCAAGTTATTGGACTTAGAACATCGGTGTGGTTCATTAAAATAAATACAAAATGCAAACGTGATCACGTGTATTGACATTGGCTAAATTTGATACTTATCTAAAATTTATCTTCACCACATAATAAATGAATGGTAAATTTTCCTGTTCAAAATATACACATATCGCTCAATGCTAAACAAACCTTTAACCCAACTAAAGGAATGGTTTCACTAAAATTAAATGCAATATTTTCCCCATCAATGAAGCAAAATAACCAAAATCCTTTGTTTGGATTTAATTGTTATCAATAAAAACAATACAAAATCTATTTCATGGAAGTGGTAATGATTAATCGATTCCTATAGGAATATTAAAATTACTTCAAACAAAATTAATATGCAAATTCCTAAAATTAATCGATTCTCTATCAAAAGCACATACTAAAATCGTTCCAGCTAAAGCTGTCGCGATTTTATCGCACTTTTGATCTCTAGTTTTTTCCGCTGCGACAAAACTTTCCTGTAAAAATAAAATTATTCGATTAAAAATCAAGCTGTTGTGTATTTACCCCCGGTTGCTAACGTTGCTAACCATTAATGAGCTTCATTGCTACACCCGTAACTAAGGAGCACGCTAAGGAGTAATTCATGTTGTTATAAAGAGGTCGACGAAAAACACATTTATTTGATTGATTATCTTTTAAAAAAAGCATCAGCTTAAACGTAAATTCTTTACCTCACCTTTGCTCCCCATATGCGAAAATATTTATGTTTATTTTCAAATTTTTAAACAATGAGAAACTTGGGCAATACTGGAGCCTGTATTGGTGAACAAAGAAGTTTTACGATACAAATAGTAATGTTCTAATTTTACATCCCACGTGTAGGTATCTATTTACCAGAGTCTTAATAAACAGTAAAGCAATGAAGGTTAATCTTTTTGGAGTTCTTTTAAGAAGCGATAGTCAAGGAAAGTAGAAAACACTTTAATGAACACGAATGAGCAAAAATATGGAAAAATGTAATGACTAAAATGAAACAGATTCAATCAGCAATTTTGTGTTACTACAACTAACTATACATAGCAACTAAAAACAACTCCCTGCTTTTTCATTACTACTAAATCAAGGTGTTAAGGAAAGCAGGCATTTTCAAATATCTCAACACTCCCACTAAAATCTGCCTTTCCTTATCAATATCAAAATCACAATATTAAACTGAATAATAAAGTTTCCATAATTACATTACACACATCGACACATCACTAAACATTTTTAAATTTAACACCAAATTGTTCTCGTAACAATTCATGCCTCTTTTTGTTTAAAGGTTTAGTCATAATATCCGCTAACTGTTTAGCACTTTCCACATATTCAACACAAATTTTATACCCAGTACACTGTTCACGGATAAAATGGTATTTTGTGTCAATATGTTTGGTTCGTTTATGAAACTCTGGATTTTTAATTAAACGTATTGCACTTTGGTTGTCAACTAATAAAGGTGTTGCACTTGTTACATCTTCGCCAATCTCATTTAAAAAACTGCGTAACCATAACACTTCTTTTGTAGCATTAGCGGCTGCAACATACTCAGATTCTGTAGTAGAAAGCGACACTGTCGGTTGACGTTGGCTACTCCAGGTAATAGCACCGCTATTTAGAATGAAAATATATCCTGATGCAGTAGACCTCCTGGTATCGGGATCACCAGCAAAATCTGCATCCGAGTAACCGATTAATTTTGAATCGCCTCCTTTATACAGTATTCCATAATCTTGAGTACCTTTCAGATATCTAATTATTTGTTTTACTGCATTCCAGTGTGCTGTATCGTAGTTATTTAAATATCGACTCACCATACCCAATGAATACATTATATCAGGCCTACTGACGATAGCTGCAAACATTAGTGCTCCCACTGCTTCTCTATATGGGATTTTTCCATTTTGTTTACTTTCCGGTGTAACTGCCTTCAAAATATTATTAGAATTTGTAGGAACACTCACCGATTTTGCATCTTCCAAATTAAATCGTCTAATTATCTCCTTAATGTAATGCCTTTGATGAATAAAGAGAGATTTGTTCTTTCGATCACGTTCGATTTCTAAACCTACATAATAGTTTAAATCTCCAAGCACGATCTTGAATTCTTGTTTTAGTTTTTCTATAATCGAATTTAGAATTAATTTATCTTCACCGATTATTAGACCATCATCCACAAAAAGAATTAACAGTACTCTTTTACCATCTACTTGCCCTTTATATACACATTGATCAGCTGTGCATTGTTGAAAATTGAAGTTTTTAAGAGTGCTGTTAAATTTACGGTTCCAACATCTTGGGGATTGTTTCAGACCATACAGCGATTTCTTCAATTTACAGACTAAGTTTGGATTGGTGTTTGCACCATTAGGTGGCGACATATAAATTTCTTCATCGAGTTCGCCATATAAGAATGCTGTCTTAACATCAAACTGAATGATTTCGTAATCGTACTTCGCTGCTAAAGAAAGTAAAATTCTAATTGACTCGTATCTTGTAGTTGGGGAAAAAGTTTCTTTAAAATCTACACCTTCAATTTGAGAAAACCCTCTCGCACATAGCCTAGATTTGAAACGAGAAATATTTCCCTCCGGTGTACGTTTCACTTTAAAAACCCATTTACTGTCGATTATGTGTTTATCAGGTGGCTTTACGGTCAATTCCCATGTCTTGTTTTCTTCAAGAGCTGCAAGTTCTTCATTAGTAGGTATAGTTGGAGAGTTCTGGGGCCTCCTCCTCATTTAGGTCAAGGTCAGATTACCCCGTTCCCCCCTCCAGTTCTGAGGCCTCCTCCTCATTTAGGTCAAGGTCAGATTACCCCGTTCCCCCCTCCAGTTCTGAAAGCTCCTCCTCCTCATTTAGATCAAGGTCACAATCATTACTCCTCTTACATAGAAAATGTATCCCTGGTTACTACCAAAAGAAAAAAATACCAAAAGTAAATTAATCATTTATTAGATGTTGTTGTCAGTCATTACAATAATTAAGAGCAATTTATAATTATAAACGACAATACAAAAAAATATTTGTGGAAATTTCATCCTTGTGTAGTATATATACCACACACATCTGTATTGGGTGGAGGCGTATTGTTAGATTTGTTCTGAAGGATTTTCGCAAAGACGCAGTTGGTTGACCATCGGAGGTGCTCCCGTAGGGGATTATCTTGACGTTCCCATTTGTTAAGTCGCACTTTACAATGAAAACATTCTACTTCGTCACCATATTTCGTAAAGAAAAATCCTACACTTGCCAAAGATGTGGGTGATGGAATTCCGCTCCAATTATTATAAGTTAGCAATCGTTTATCATAACACGCGTAGTCAGGCGATACATTGTCGAAACACATGATTATTCGTGCGAGAGACAACGTGTTATTAAACGGGGGTTTTGCGCAAATTTTTTTTTTTTTTTTTTTTTTTTTTTTTTTCTTTGCAAAAAGGTGCAGTACTTGTAGTGCCCCAGGCGGTAAAAGCGACACTAATGGGAGAGGAAAAACGTATATAAGAAGTGCACTTTCATAAGAGACGCATACTTCAACATGTCGCGCGCTGAACAATCCCACCCGTCTACTAGTGCTGTGAATAGTGATCGTGTTCCTGGTAAGTTTATTATTCAAGTTAATAAATGTGTAATGCTTGAACAAACTAAAATACTGCAAGATATTTCTTTTATTCCGATAAACGATTCAAACAATAGAGACGGTTTCGATCCCAAAAATACATCCACAAGTAGTCCTGAACCACCCGAATGGTACCATAGATTATTAGAATGCCTTTCTCCTATTCCATCCCCCCAATCTACGCATGTTTATCTAGATAAAGGTGCAACCGATGCGGTATCAACAAAAGTGGAAGAGCAAACGTGTGTGAATGTAAATGATGGTGATTTACTAGACGACGTTGAAGTGAAAGAGTGCGTTGCTCTTGCCACTCAATTTGATAGCGAATGGGGAGAACCTAATCCCAAACGAAGTCGTCCAAGTTCACCCCCTCTAACTTACCCTATCCACCGTAATTCCCCTCCTAATGTAGCGGATGTAAAACGACACGTTTCCTCGAGGATTTTGTTACCAGACAATATTGATGATAAACTTGAACAGTTGTTTCTCTTAAATAGTGATGTAATACACGTGAATCGTGCGCGCTGTCGAATGATGAACAAGTTATTGTCCAACGTGCACGCGTACGAACGTTTGAACGCGAGATACAAGCGCTTAGGACTACAAAGAGAAACAGTTTGTCAGAGTTTAAACGTGTCGGATGAAACGAAAGAACTACTGAAAAGACATTTAAATTATGAGGATTTTAGTACTTTATTAGAACATTTAAAATGAAAGTTTCTCTATTAATCTTTATTTTTCCCATACTACATACCAACCTTTCCATCCCCTCCCGGTGACGTTGCTACACAGGGTCCACGATTCCCGTCACCGGACAGTGAATACTTTAAAGCGTTAACGC